GCCCCTCCTCCCATCCCCCTCCCTACCCTGGCAGTACACTGCGTGGCAGAGTACAAGAAAAAAGATCTTTTTACTCAAGCCAATTTTGAGTTTAAATGACCTTTAGAACACCTACTACACTTTATTTGTAAAATTACGAGAGAATGTCCTCGGTGTTGGACCCACTGGGCCACATCTTTTGGACGTTGGCATACATGCCACCAAACTTTTGGAATTTCGAGTGGACCTGCCCCCAATTTTTTGGAAGCATCTCCCCATCACGTTCCAGTGTTGAACTTTGCCGCAACACGATTTCAGAACATTGTGGTCTTCTGGAAGTTTGCCACAATGGCGTGCTCCAACACATCGACGTAGAACTTTGCTAAGGTCAAACTTTTTGTCGGGGTAAAATTCTTCCTAATTCACCCAGTTTTCGACCATGCATGCTTATGACGGATTCTTATAGAAGTGGAGAAGGAAAAAATATGCGGTCACCGAGTAATAGTTCTACACTGTCAAATTTTTAATCAAAACGTCAACACTAATAAAAACGTGGTTACCAAACAAAACCTTAAAAAATAGCGATAGCATGTGGCTTGTAGGTTTAGAATGTGTATCTCAGCAAATAAAGACATAAATAATGTTCCAAAAATGAATGAAAAAGTATAAGCAAAAATATTCCATTCGCTTTGATTTAATTTTTATTTGACTTTTCACGGATTTAATATAGTAACACTTTTATCATTAATATCGATATTTATGTATAGATATATTTTATTAAATTTTAATAGTTCAAAATTACGTTTCAAAATGAAATTATTGATATTATCTTTATATCGGAACACAATATATTTTTTTGTATATCGAAGACAAAATTTATAAATCTTGATCCAACATAATTAAATGAGAAGATTAAAATGAAGAAAAAAAACTTGAATTAAAAAGGAACAGAGGATGGAGAGGAGCGTACTGCTTAAATTCGCACACTGCACTGATGACTGATCATTCACTAACCGATAGCAATGGCGCTCAAATGCAGGAAAGACAAACCACCGCTCTCCTCCGTCATTCTCCTGTCTCAGCTCTTACTGATTGCGGCGGCGCAGTCGCCGTCCGCCTCTAGTCCGATCAAGACTGTGGTTGTGCTTGTAATGGAGAACCGCTCCTTCGACCACATGTTGGGATGGATGAAGCAGAAGGTCAATCCGGAGATCGACGGCGTTGACGGGTCTCAGTTCAACCCGATTTCCACGGCCGACCCGAATTCCCCCCGCCTTTTCTTCGGCAAGGAGTCGCATCTCGTGGATCCCGACCCGAGCCACTCGTTCGAGGCCATCCGCGAGCAGATCTTCGGATCCAACCACTCCTCCACGGATCCGCCGCCCATGAACGGATTCGCCCAACAGGCCGCCGCCGTGGATCCGAATATGTCCCGGAGCGTGATGAACGGGTTCGATCCGGACTTGGTCCCGGTTTACAAGACCCTCGTCTCGGAATTCGCGGTGTTCGACCGGTGGTTCGCCTCCGTCCCGGCCTCCACCCAACCGAACCGCCTCTACGTCCACTCCGGCACCTCCCACGGCGCCGTCTCAAACGTCCCCTCCCTCCTCGTGAAAGGATACCCCCAGCGGACCATCTTCGAGAGCCTGGATGAATCCGGAATCGATTTCGGAATCTATTACCAGAGCATCCCAACAACTCTGTTCTACCGGAACCTTCGGAAGTTGAAATACGCCGGCAAATTCCACCCTTACTGGCTATCCTTCAAGAGCGACGCCAGGAAGGGGAAGCTGCCGGGGTACGTGGTGGTGGAGCAGCGGTACGTCGATTCCGCGGTGGAGCCGGCGAACGACGACCACCCGTCGCACGATGTGTACCAGGGGCAGATGCTGGTGAAGGAGGTGTACGAGGCGCTGAGGTCCAGCCCGCAGTGGAACCAGACCCTGTTCCTGATCACCTATGACGAGCACGGCGGGTTTTACGATCACGCCCCTATGCCGGTGAGTGGGGTTCCCAGCCCCGACGGAATTGTGGGACCCGACCCGTCATACTTCAATTTCGACCGGCTGGGGGTTCGTGTCCCCACCATTGCCATCTCACCCTGGATAGAGAAAGCCACTGGTAAACATATTTTTCGATGTACTAAGAAGACTGTTAGTATTTGCTCTAAATTCTGCGTCACGTGAATTGGTGCAGTGGTTCATGGGCCAAATGGGTCGCCTTTTCCGAACTCGGAGTACGAGCATTCGTCTATTCCGGCGACGGTGAAGAAGATATTCAACCTGCCGTCGCCGTTTCTGACGAGGAGGGATGCGTGGGCCGGCACTTTCGAGTCCATTCTTCAGAAGAGGAAAGAACCCAGGACTGATTGCCCAGGTTCGTCACCCCCTTTCCTTTTTCTTTACTCCGTATTAGACATGTGAAAACCAAATTGCTTGAAAAGTCTGACCAAAATGACTTTATGGTTGATTTGATTGCCCAACCTATCCATATTCCAACCAAAATGACTTATTGAGTAATGTGGGTTACACCAGAATATATGGATGAGTTTCCTAACTAAATTAGGAACCCATATTGGGTGTTTGTCTATGTTGGTGCTTATTGACTTATTGCTGATAAGCAATTTTTAACTTATAAGCTGCTCATAAGTCAAATAGTCTTTAATAATTGTAAAATGACTTAAATGATAGATAAGTCACTTGGAAATTTTCATAAATGGTGAGAGACGGTTTTGTAAATAAACGGGTCAAAACGGAGAAACAAAAAACTGACTTAAAAATAAGTAACTAAGATCTACTTAATTTTTCTGGCTTATAAGCAAATTATAAGTCAGCTCATAAGCACACAGAAACATGTCAAACATGTCATAAGCTGACTTATAAGTTAAAACCTGCTTATAAGCAATTTTGACTAAAGTTCTACTAAAAAAGAGGTGGCAAGACTATATTATTTTTTCAAATGAGTCACGAAAATAGGTCAAGAACATGACTAAAGTTTTATCCTGTGAATAGTAAACATGCAACTTAAATTGGGACGGAGGGAGTAATAAAGTTTCCAATTAGGCAATTACTCTTTCATTACTCCGTATTTGGGACTTTTTTAATATTTTGAAAAAATTTATTAAAATCAGCGGATGGTATCTTCATAATTAATAAATAAAATTTGTGTCATCTTCATTTATTTTAAAGGTGCTATAAAATGTCAACTAAATAAAATCTCACTTGAAAATGGAAGGGGATGAAAATTTTAGGAAATTTTATAAAGTATATGGCAAAACTGAGAATCCATATCATTTTGTCAAACATGCTGCAAACCCCATATAGTATTTTGAAATAAGTCTGCCAAAATCTACTGATAATAAGCATATTTTTGGTTAACATTTTATTTAAAAAATGAAAAAAAAGTAAATTCTATGTGAGAAGATGTACAAATATTTTGTGGATCTTAATTGCATCGTGGAAATACTCTTTTGACATCGGATTGTGCTGTCATATTATGACATCGGGCACATATAGTACTTCAATTGAAAAATTGATGGTTTCTTTCTCTTCTTAAACCCCCAGTCCGACCCGGTCCAATGCACCCGCGAACCCCCTCCAATTGAACAACCAAATTTTGTTGGCTTATGGTAAAAACTATGACCCCAACAAAATTTATAGGTGCAATTGGTAGAAGTGTAGGGGTGCCTTGGGGCCGGGCTGAGATGGAGGGTTATTTGGAGGGTTAAGGTGGTAAAAGCTATCAGTTTTTTTTTATCAAAGCACATATCACGAGGGAGATGGACACAAATAAGAGTATCTTGGGTCTTAAATGTCCAAAATAGGAGCTTTGAGTTTTTTCTCTCTAAATAGGAGTTATTTAACAATAAAGAGACTATTTTTTCCTTGTTTAAAATTTAATACAAAATTAAATCCACATGCTTATTATGAAGTATGTTCCATATTTTTGTGTGTGTTTTGCTTCATCCATCGGAAAGTAGTTCACATTTTAGAAACTCTCATTTTTTTTAAGAAAATGAGTTTAAAATGTTAAATAAGTCTTCCGGATTACTTTGTCACTTATTTATGTCAACAATGTTGGTACCTTCTCTCTATGATATTATAGACAATGTATCATCATTTTTGTATTGAATATGAGAAGTGGATAACTAATTCCGTACAAAAGAAAATAAGAAAGGGTACTCTTAACACTGCATTCTCTTCATTGGAACTTGTTGAATTTGGTCTGATTGTAGTGTAATGTAAAAATGTTTCTGATCTGCATGATCTGTTTTGAACTTATCTAGTTCTGATAAGCATAAAGAATATGTTAAGAAATTACTCTAAATAAGAGGTAAACACGCCTTTTATCCTCAAAATGAAGTGAAATATTTTTATCTCAAAATAGAACTATTGGATTGTTAAAATGTGGCATTGCATATTGGCATTTCACATTGTTTATGTTGGCATTATAAGTTCTATTTTAGGGATAATAACATGAACGTCCGGTTAAGGTTTGATCTGATTGGTCTTTATTAAGGTTTGATTTGTTTCAAGTCATATTTAATGTTTTTTCTGATCTAGGGGCTGATTCCCATAAAGATTAGTAATTACTTACTCCTTAATAATCTTTGTCCTTAATAAGCTTAAGAGAACGAGGCCTAAATATGGATAGAGGTAGTATATATGCTTTTGTCAAGAATTTAATCGAGATACTCCATAGGAATCAAGATCTAAACATGAAATGAAAACGTGTAAATTTCTAGAACTTTGGACACAGTTTGGATCCTAACCTTGACCGGAATGGGTTAGGGTTAGCTACACTTAGGGAGTTGGAAGGGGTAGTTTTTTGTTCTTAGGTGACACAAACATACTTCTGATAGTTTTTATTTATTTGTGTGTTTTTATTGCTTACTTTGGTCCTTGATCGTTTCTTGTCAATGCAGAGCAACTGCCAACTCCAAAAAAGATCAGAAACGGAGGGCCAAACATAAAAGCCGAAATAAGCGAATTCCAACACGAGCTGGTGCAGCTCGCCGCAGCGCTAAACGGGGACCATCTCCTCACAAGTTACCCGGAGAATATCGACCGGAAAATGACGATAAGCCAAGTGAAAGAATACTTGGAAGGCGCCGTTAAACGGTTTTTTGAGGCAAGCCTTTTGGCAAAGGCAATGGGAGTTGATGGAGACCAAATTGTCCAAATGAGACCTTCCCTCACCACAAGAATATCTCCCAATCCTTAAGCTCTAAGCAAAAAAAGAAAAAAAAACACATCTCATCATATACTTATGCCACATTTTGGGAATTGAAGATATTCTTTTAGGTGTGTTGTGGCATTGTATGTTACTACTACATGCCTCATTATTTTTTCATTCATATTGGAAATGCCAATGGATTTTCCGAGGGGTAATCCAATACTGGAAAAATACAATGTCATAAAGCACAATATATAGAAATATCCGTACATATATATATATATATATATATATATATTCATTTATATATGAATGTGAAGATGGGTATGCATGTGAAAATTGGATGAGTGCAATGGGTTTGTATATTGTTATCATCACTGTTATTTTGACAGGGATTTTGGTGTCATATTAGTATGTGCGGAGAGTATTCCTTTAACACATTTTCATAGTAATATTGAAGAATTTTTGGAATTCAATGACTTGCCTTTTCATTACACGGTGGCCACTAAAGTGTTAGCCAATAGATTGAAATCCCTTCTTCATAAGGAAAATGCTAGGGTGCCACTACATGGGTACTACCATGGGTGCACCCATGTAGTGGCACCCTAGCATGGTCATAATTGAATTTCTGTCAATCAAAGTGCTTTTGTACCTAGTCACTGACAACGAGGGATCCACTGGAAGCTATGGGAAGAGTTAGCCAAACCTAAAGCTTTCTGGGGTTTAGGCTTTGGAACAATAAATGCTGTTAGGACTACAGCCGCTCCCACCCATATTAAAGGAGAGGCATTGAGCTGCTGGCTTAAGGTGTTGGAGGTAGACAATGTGGATGTTGAGACAGACAGGTTATTTTTGCGTTAGAATCTAAACCTCTTTTTTCGTCTTTTGGATTTATTATTTCTGATATTAAAGAAGCTATGAATGACTTTAGGTAGTGTTTGGCAACTAGCATTTCATTTCAATTCATGCATTTCAATTCCAAAATTTGAAATCTTGAATTTCAAATGACAAGGGGAGGTGCATGGATTTCAAATTAAGCTTTGTTTTGAATGCAAAGAAGTTGATTCAAATCCAAATTCAAAATGCTTAAGTTTCCCAAACATGGAATTTAAGCCAAATCCGGATTTGAAATCCAAATCCATGTTCCCAAATATACCATTAATGACTTTAATTACTCTTTATCCTATAAATGACTGTCCTCTTCATCAAAGTTTCTTGATAGCTCCATCATCTTGAATTCTTTAAGGTAGTGTTTGGCAACTAGCATTTCATTTCAATTCATGCATTTCAATTCCAAAATTTGAAATCCTGAATTTCAAATGACAAGGGGAGGTGCATGGATTTCAAATTAAGCTTTGTTTTGAATGTAAAGAATTTGATTCAAATCCAAATTTAAAATGCTTAAGTTTTCCAAACATGGAATTTAAGCCAAATCCGGATTTGAAATCCAAATCCATGTTCCCAAACATACCATAACTGATTCCCGCTCAAATCAATATATTAAGACTGAAGTTCAAATTGTCACATTGAGTATTAAATTGAATACGGATAGAAGTGAAATATTCCTTTATTATACCTTACCTAGACTTGGCAAAATAGACTTGGACTCGATAATCTTAACCGAATAATCGGAACCTAAACCAAAATCGAAATAACCCAAAAACCGAATAACGGAATTATAACCGAAACCTGAATGATTTGAATCAAATCGAAACTGAAACAAATGTATTCAGACCAGATTTAGATTTGATTACGATTGAATCCGAACTGGTAAATAAACCCGAAATCAATTAGATCCAAACTCATTATACCTCCAAAACCGATTAGACCCGATATTGATCAAATTCAAAACAAATTAAATTCAAATCCAGTCAAACATAATAGCTCATTAGTTGATGCCTTTCTAAGAAAAATATATTTTAATTATAGGTACAATGACTTTCATGTACAAATCTTTTACTCCATATTTTATCACTTAAATTAAGGTGATTGTCTTTTTCATACAGAGTATATATACAATTTATAGTGAGACATCGTAATACACAATGATGGATATACTAGCTCATCATTAGTGACACTTCTTTATATACCCCCTTTACACATATGGAGGAGAGGCTACACACAAGGCTAACATTACGAACCCTAATACCAAGGGATCTCATCCGAAACTGATATAAACTCGAATCGATATAAACTCGAACTGGCATAAACCCAAACCCGGATCTATCTGAAATCGATATCCAACCGAACCAAAACTAAACTGAAAAATTTGAATCAAACCAAACCGATCTGAACCGATTATAACATATATTCGATAGAGACCTGAATAAAAAAGATCTGAACCAGAATCGAACTGATTGACCCGATTACAAGGCCTAACCTTATACAATATTTTACCTACTTTCATTAAAAGTAAATTTGTAAATTTATAGCTTTTTTCAACTCTTCTTAAAAGCATACAAAGGCAACCTGGGATGTTTTCTTCCATGAAACGAAGGGAGTATCATACTAAGTCAAGGGCAAATCCTTCCATGGACACATGGTCTATACCCGACCTTAGTGCATTTGTAACATAAATTAAAAGAAATGAACTTTTTGCAAAAAGAAAATATACATATGCAAACTTATGAAAAATGTGAAAAGGTCTACGGACATTTTGAATGTAGACCTTAGTATCATGTAAGCATTATTCTAAGTCAAGACTTCTAATTGATACTCTTATTTACTTGGAAAATACATAGTTTAATTTTTAAGTCATAATAATCATCAAATTTTCACACAATGTAAACTTAAGTTTATACTTCGTAAGTTATGACATCAAAATTTTTGATCGAGTCTCATATGTCAAGTGTACACTTACTATGTTTCAGGCCGCCCATATGCATGCCCATATGCATATTGAGGAGGTTCATTTGCACCGGGCCACCGAATTTATGAGGCCCAATTATTCACTACGTGTCGTACATAGATTTTTTGTGATGTCAACCCAATATGTATTAGCAAAATTCCTGCTATATGACAATGTTTGCAAAAGTGTTTCATATTTTCTCTCTTTTGTTTTGGAGAAATTTGTGTTTCGAAATTTTCTTAAATTTTCAATTTTTTTTCATATTTTCCGAACTGTTCTATCTTAAATTAGTTTCTTATTTGGAGTGTAAAATCTCATTTATATAATTTTTCTTTTAAAGTGAATAATATTTCTCTTACATTCTGCAAAAGAGATAATGTCATTTTTTTGCATAATCATTCTTAATTTGTTTTAGCATCATCATTTTGCAAGTTATGGATTGACTTTTCAATTCCTTTCTAAAAAACTTGGTCACGGTATATGTATTACAAAGTATTTTTCACTCCCTAAAAATTGATTATCCTTCATCCATAAATTCCTATTTCAGTTTTATTTAATTGAAAAAACTAATTTGTCTTGTTAATTTGATCTAAAAAAAAATGGACTTATTTTTTTAAATATCTTCTATCATTGTTCTGATTTTAGGGCCAATATTTCTAAATTGCACATGGCCTTTCACACTGATTGGGCGGGCCTGCTATGTTTTATACTCCGTATATAAGAATGTTTGCATTTCCTACGAAGTAAATTTCTTTTCTAAACATCTTTTTATTGTCATTTTTATTAAACACTTTTTTGAAAACTAAGGCTTCTGGGAAGACCTTAGTAAAAAGAAGGGAAAAAAAATTAAAGTTTAGGGGGCAAAACCGCTCTTTACCAAACACTTTTAAGATGCCATTGGCCAAAAATCAGGCACTTCTTGGTAACGTTTTGGTTCGACTGTTCAAATTAGTCTTTTTATGCCCTATATATCCTGCAAAATACTAATTTGATGTTGAAAGAAAAAAAAAGATTGAAAAAGGAAAAGATGTAGAGTTTGTACTTTGACCTTTTCACAAAATAGATTGATTAAGAGGTAGAGTATAATTTCGGTTTGGTTGTTGAAGGAAAATAAAACATTATTACAATTTTGTACTTATATATAAATATTTTGAATATATAAAAAATAATAATAATTTTATTTATTATCTATTTGATTACATAAAAATATACTCCGTATATAAACTATTTTGTATATAGATTATAATATACCCCGTATAAGAAAAACATTATACTACGTACACATTAGTATATAGATTATGGAGTAGAAGTCAGAAATATATCTTTATATGTAATTTCATTTGCAACCTAACATCTACTTATGAATGATTAAGCTTATCAAACCTTTTTTTCACGAACAGCTAACATAATTATCCAATCAAACAATTAATTCGACAAGCTATATTCTTATATCAACCAGCATAAAGAGCCAACAACCAATTATCAATTATCAAAGAAGGCCTCAATTAGTTGGTTTAGAAGGTCAAATAGGGTGTTGGAATGTTGGCTAAAAAAGCGTGATAAAGTTGTCTAACAACACCCCCAAAGTATGCTTGTGCGTTCAGATTACCCAATTTTAATAAATGGATTCTTGCAAAAAAAAAAAGGATGTAAACATTAATAAAATGAATTGAAGTCTGTTATTATAATGCAAAACTGCAAAAGGGCGAAACAATGGTCAAAAAGACACTTTTCGTCAATTGATCTTTACACCTAATGCCGAAAAAAGAATAATGACAGCTAAAAAACACATACTCTCTCCGTTCTTAAAAACACTTCCTCTTTTATTTTTTTTTTTCCAACAAAACACTTCCACTTTCTATTAAAAAATCACTTTAACCTCACTTTTTCATACCCTACCTATCACATCATACTTTATCTCTAATAATCTATCTATCACATTTTACTTTTACATATCACATCAAGGGCAAAATTGGAAGTCAACTACAATTTAATACTTTCTTATTTTTACACAAAGTCAAAAGAGGAACATTTTTTCCAAACGGAGGGAGTAAAAATGAAGAAGAAGAAAAAAAGATGAAAATAACTATTAGAAATATACATTAGGGTTTGAAATTAGAATATTATTCCGAGGTACCCTCGATTTTCTGGTAATGACTCACATGTCCTACATTATCAGAAATACATTCTGGGGTACTCTCGATTTTCTGGTAAGAAGTCTCAGGTCCCACATTATTCGAAATTTATTACGGGGACCTTAACATTTGTGATAATGTACTCCTTGGGTACATTTCTTCTATTTGACCGTTAGAATTAAAAATTTTGATACCTTTATAAATACTAAATTTTACGTACCTTCATAATCATTATTTTATTAAATTTAAATAAAATTTTTCGATTTCTTAAAGTAA